TGAACCAAATGAAAGAAGTGACTGGAAAAAAGTAATCTCGATGAAAGAGACTCAACAATCTGAGTCAAGAAAAATGATCCGAACTTTCCATTACTAATATATATGACCCTTCATGAACGGCTAAATACTGTGTGCAGTGGGTCCTTGTCTCACAGCTTGGCACTGGCAGGTCTGCCTTACTTCCGGAAATCAAGTGGAGTCAAGAATAATTAAGAAGCAGGCTCTTCTCATAGGATAAAAAAACTCTGCTATGAATAATATAGTTGGTCAACGTTCGCTCGCTTCGATACAAAGTGGATGAATTACAAGCCAATGTGAGTTTTATGCACAAATACAGGAACGTTCACGTTATGGCATTCACTGAAACCTGGCTGGACGACTCAAGTCACTGATAGCGCTTTAGGGATCGAGGGGTTTGGAACACCTATTCGGCTGGATAGAGACAAAAACTCAACTGGAAAACATCACGGTGAAGGTGTATGTTTTCATATTAAAGAAAGCTGGTGTAAGACTGCAGTAGTACAACACGAGATATGTAATGCAGATATTGATCTCATTGCGGTCTCCGTACGTCCTTTTTATCTTCCACAGGAATTCCCTCAGTTGTTCTTTGTTGTTGTATACATACACCCACATGCTCAAATTGATACGGTGTCTAAAACTGTTGAAAGTGTTCTCGACGAACTGCATAATATATCTCCAGATGCCCCCAAATTTATCCTAGGGGATTTTAATCATTGTTTTTATGGACAACTATATAAAGGGATATTACCTTAATATGTCACATGCCCCACATGTGCTGATAAAGTCTTGGACAGATGTTATGGGTCAGTTTTGGAAGTGTATAGATCTCTGTCATTACCTCCTCTTGGTTCATCTGACCATAATATGGTTTTGCTGTCTTCTTTGTATGTTCCAATAGTTAAGCAAGTGAAGAGGGAAATACGACTTGTTAAAAAATTGACACCTTCTAATATTGAAGTTTTAGGGGGTTGTTTTGATTGCACTGATTGGAATATGTTTTTGAACACATGTCCCGATCTTAATGAGCAAGTTGTTACTATCTCCAACTATATTACATTTTGTGTTGATTCTGTTATACCAACAAAAAAGATTTCCCTGTATTCCAATAACAAACCATGGGTAACAAAGAAGTTAAAAGTATACTGAATATGAAGAAGAGAGTATTTCTTTCTTGAACTAACGAGGAGAAAAAGCAGATTAACAAGGAAGTTAAAAAAGCAATAAAGACAGCTAAAAATAAATATAAAAATAAGATTGAAGGACTGTTTATGCAAGGCAATCTTAAGGCGGCCTGAAAAGGCATTAAAAGTATGGCTGCAGTCAGTACACAGGTAGCAAATTAATGTATGGCTAATGAGAGTGATACTAATTTATGCTTGGCTAACAAATACAATGATTTTTTTTCTCGATTTGATACATTTCCAACTGATTATGAGATTGGATTATTTAAAGATAGTTTATGTATTCATATCATTTAATATATTAAAACAGCTGAAGGCCACACCGCCCAATAAGGGCTGATTTATACTTCTGCGTCAAACGCCGGCGTACGCTACGGCGCTGACGCATAGCCCTTCTCCGTGGCCGTCGCCGTCACTGACGAGCACCTCTCAAAAAATGTAACTACACGTCGCAACGACGCGTAGCGTAAGCTCTGTGATTGGTCGGCTTGGTAGCGCTGACGAATCTGGGCGGGACCGAGAGCCACGCGAATGGCGCGAGCGATTGTTTACAAGTGTGGAGTACCGTGAAGGAGCTCCGGATGGAAAGTTTTGTTTTGTGTTTACCTCATAGTTAAAGTTGTTGCACGTCCGCCGGTTCCTGCCTCAAAATGAGCGAGTTTGAGCCACTTGTACATCCCGGAAGTGTTCAGGAAAAGCAAAACAACAGCGAAGAAACTTGACACAGAGGAACATTTACACCTCACTGCCAACTAGCATTTCGGAAGTGTTAATGCAGACCAACAGAGACAGCGCGCAGAAGTATAAATGCGAAGTATAAATGCGTTGCATGCGCAGTGGGTTACGCCGGTCACCTGACGCAGAAGTATAAATCAGGCTTTAAGCGCTTCCGGCGAATTGAATGCCATTGCAAAATCCGGTGCGTTTAAGGTCTGTTTTCTTTAAAAATCAGCGATCTCCACTAGCTGAGTGATATTCGTATTAAAGTGGGTCTCAGTTTGTACAAGAAGCACTGCATTAAATTACATTTCCCCCGCCAAATCTTTATTATATGAGCAGTATATTCAGCTTTTTGTCTCGTTTTACGCTTGAGCAACTAAATAAATGCTAAAGTTTATTTAACTGAATGTATTTTAATGACATTACGACATCGATGCTGTATAAGGAACCATATAAAATGAGAAAAAGTTCACAATAACAGGTCACCGGAAGTGTATCAGCATGGGAACAGCACTAGCTCGGCATATACCCTATAAGATTACAGATGTTCACAAAAATGTGCAAATACTTACATATATGGTTTTATTTCAAACCGCCAATGAGCTCCATTATATGGACTTTAAAGGGATATTATATAGACTGAGACAGATTGCCAAAAGGTTTGTATTGACCACTCATGCATATACTGGTGGTATGTGTGTGTGTGTATAAGTGTTGTAACATAAAAACATTAACTAATTAACAATAAAATGTTAAAGTGGTAAAGTGTTTCCCTATTTAAGCTCTTTGGATACAGTTTAATATCTATATTTTTAATTTTAAGTTTATATTAATTTATATTACACTATGACAGGGTGGACATGTTAAGCTTGACAACATTCAGTTTTAAACTCAATATGATGTTAAATACGAAACATACATGTAGATATTTGTGCAAATCAGATGTTTAAACCTAGCAAAATAGACATGGGGAAGTCAATGAGCACATCAGAGGGTTTCTTGAAGGGGCATTTACCACATTATGAAAGGGTGGACAGCAATTTCAAGGACACATGCAAAATGATTATTAATGTGATTTTAACAAAACGTTATTAAAATTACGTTTTTTTTGTCAAATAACTTGTTAAAGACAATAAGAATATTTTGATATCTTTAAAACTGATCTAATTTACATACTTTTTAGATTCACTGAAGTTGGCTGAGCAGTGGGTGGGACATGGCAAAATAACATCCATTTAATGAAAGAATATGGCAAAAATTTATAAAAATATTTAAAAACACTTATAATTCTACCTGCATGTGTGTAAAGGTTTAACCAATTATATTAAAACATCAGAATGTCATTATTTCATATATATATGACTGATTCAATCTTTTGGGACATCAAAGTCACTTTATAGTAATAATGGCCCAGCTACAGAAACTAAAACTTGTAGTAGTAATTGGCACTTCAAGGGCTTCAAAGATTTAGCTAAGATAAGTCTTTTGTGGCACCAGAATGTGTCTGTGGGCAATTCTTCAACTACGGGCCCCTTTTAGCCTTGTGAAGTTGAGTTAAAAAAAAAAAAAAAAACTTGTTCAGAATTAACGCAACATAGCCTTATAAGTTTAAACTATTTGTCTAGTTTTAAGATCTGTAAGAGGATAAACTTAGATAAGAAGAGAAACATTTTTTTTTTCCATCGTGAAGTGAACAATTGTTAATTCCACCACATCTCAATATACAGCTTATTTCAAAATGAAATAAATTATGGCAGTCAAACATTGTCTAAGATCATTGTTGTATCTAGTTTAACCAATCTCTCCACAATGTACACAATGATAATACGTTTGTCAATAAAATAAATTAGTTGTATGCTAAATTGTACACCTGTCACACTCTAAAATTTAATATTAATTTGGTTAAGAGCTTAGTAGAAAATAAATAAGCTGAATTTGTATATTAAAAAGAACATGAATCTTACACATTGTGAACACACTTTTAATGTGTGATGAGAACTTTTAAAATATTTTTAAAAATGTGTGGTGATGGAAATGACAGTGGTGAAGATGAAAATTTATTTTAAAAAAGATTAAGATAGCTTCACCGATTAGCTTTGAGTTGATACTAGCCTTTCATGTATACAAAACACTCTTATTTACCTTAATTTTGAATGGTTTTTAAAAACATCTTTGAAGGTACAACATGTTTGGAAATGACGTAGAGTAAATGTATCCTTATCAAGCAATGTTTACTTGATTTTTTTTCAAGTGTTGTTGATAAAATGTAAATTCCCTCTAGCTTGAACATGTTCTCAGATGGCACTGGTCATTTTCATAGAAACCACCTAAATAATTTTTCACTCAAACTTTTTAAAGCAAAATTTTAGTGTTGTGGTGGAAATGACACTGATGCTTTGCAACAGCTATATTTTGTATAAAAATATGATTGATAATAGGCTCACATTAATAACTATAAAATATTTTAATGATTTCACTAGTGCAATTAAGATACATTGATAGAAACCAATTTAAAAAATACTTTAAAATGTTATTTTCATTATTGAAGTTTAAAACTCTGGGTGTGCGACAAGGTGAAAACAGTAATTTTGACATCTAAAAAGAGGTTGAATAATATGAAAAATAAATAATAGAAAAGTAGTACAAAAATTTAAAGTAGGTTTTATTGTTAGTTTGACTAAGAAAAAGGAATTTGAACAAATTCAAAGTAGTATAAGTATCTCAAAGGACATAAAAGTGCCCGTAGTTGAAGAATTACCCCTGTACACACATTTCAGCAAACCCATCAGCTTATTTGTTATACCTTCTATAATGTTGAGATTATCTGCTTTAAACACTTAGTTTTAGTGGATAAAAACGTTTTTTTATTGTCTTAAAAATGTTTAGAGTAAAAGATTTTGATCAACTAAAAATATTGAATATCTGTGTGTCTGTGTATGTGAGAAAGTGGAAAACGAGGGAGAAATGTATCCATTGTTCATGACTGCAACAGTAAGTGGCAAAAAAAAGCTAAACAAAAAGACTTTTATTTTGACTGTGTGTGACGTCATAAGGCTGCGCCGCTCCTGCGCTGTGATTCAACCTATTTTACAGTCTATGGATTCAACTAGAGAAAGGTTTGTTTTAAAACTTTACACAGATATAAACCGACTGATTACAATTTCAGGTTTTCACCCGATGGTAAATTCTGTTCCTGTTGTTGACGATATTATTTTAACCTTTCATAAAACGAAGTACTATTTTTCTCACAGTAATGAGGGCTATTGTTTGAATAACAGAAATGTGTGTAGTTGTTATAGAGGTAAAGTTAGTTGTATATTCGAACATTCAGACTTTCCCCTTAATAATATAATTTCATAAATGTATTATTTGCAAACTCTAAATAACGAAATCATATTAGCAGTGAATGACTATAAAGTACAACATTGTTCACAGTCAAATAACAGTGTTAATGTTGTTTTCAAGTCATACTTGCATGCTAATTCCATTCGTATATTCAAAGTAACTTGGTAAACAATATAGGGACTTCTACATGAATGAATGTGTCAATTTAAAACCAACTTTACCTCTTTGTAATTGTTGTAGTGCAGGTTTATTTTTTAAATAGCATAATGTCATTACTTTACACGTATCCATCTCTATATATATAATTAATGGATTACCATTTTTAATCGGGTCAATTGTGGCAATTGTTTCTTGCTCGGACTTACCTAATTTCATTTTGTTAATTACTCTCATTTAAAGAAACTGATGAAACAAGTGTTGAAGAGAAATTATTTTGTTTCTGTTCATTGTTTTATTCATTTTAAACAGGGTGTTTTTATTGTTTTGTTAATTTTAAACAGAATAAAGTGTCAAAACACAGAGAAAATCTTCTGCTGAAGGGACTGATCTCCACACTGTTATAAAGATGGCGTTTATTAAAGAGGAGAGTGAAGATGTGAAGATTGAAGAAACATTCACAGTCAAAGAGGAAGATCTGCAGGAACAAACAGGTTGGTTTTCATTCTCAAAGACAAACTCAGTCATCTGATCCTCATTCACATATATTTTATTAATAAAAAAAAAATCTAAATTAAATCTGTCTTGCAGCCCTGAGTGTGCTGCCTGGTTCTCCTAAATGCACATAAGCACTTATTAAAAGACAAGAATGACTTTCTTTCGTCACTTGTTCTCATGTCTTTTGTCATTCTTTATGTATTATTAGTCTCCTATTTTCTCTACCGTCTTAAGGTTAATGCTTTTCTTGTTTCCTTGGCACTATATAAAATTAATTTTAAACAATAAATAAAAAAAAGTTTAACTGAGCTGACGATATTTGACCAACAATATTCTCAAAGAAAATATCTGCTATTACAGTGATAGTGTTCACTTAGTACTTTCCATTTGCAAGTGTCACGTTGATGACAATTCCTTTTTTTTTTCCATCAACTTCTTTATGGGTTTAAAGTTGTTTCTAGTAGTTGTAACTAGTTCTCACAGATAGTATCTGAGTTAGAATTACATAATTATTATAATAACTAATTACCAGGGCTATTGTGTTTAAACAGGGATTCCGCTGGGTCTTAAAGGGTCACAAAACACCAAAACACATTTTGTGTCGTATGTGTCCCACACTGCTAAAAACACTATTAGGACACATATATTTCAATAAACAGTGAAAATTGGTTGTTATTTCGAGCAAATTCGTACTTCCGGGTTGAAACTAATTTTTGAAGCTGCGTCACGGCCATGAGATCTTAGCGTGTATTCCAGCACGTCTGTACCTGGGAGTACTGTATTACATCTCTGAGTGTGTTGCATTGACTCCTTAGTAATGCTTGGTTCAAACCAATGAGCGCACTCTATTATGTATGCACTGCATCTTCATTAATATGCATGCTAGGTTTCTTAGACTGTACCTGAAACAGTGTTCAGACGGCAGAGAGACAACACACATCGTGTTGCCAAAAGGAGTGCGAAAAGAATAAGAAATGTTTGGAGATATGGGTCGTTATTGTTGCTTTTATAATGTTCTACAGTGAAGGTTTTATTTTCGTTTTCTCTGTAAGAAAGCGCTGCTGGACTCCAGTGCGGATTAAAATGCATGTGACACGTGGCAAAAATACGTTTGTACGGAACATTTTTAACTCTAGCTTTTCGTATCTAAAAATGGTGAAATCCGGATTTGCTGCTCGTCTCCTTTAAAAAAAAGATGCAGTTCCAGTATGTGTTGATTGTCCTGTATACAGATTTGGTAAATGTGTGCGATCAGCGCCCTTTCTTTGTTCATTCAGATGGCAAAGTTATAGTTGGTATGCTCAGCAGTACTCTTTCTGTGTTTAAAGACAGACCTTAGTCAAAATGATTTCTAAGTTACTTAGTTTACGTTAACATCACTACAATATTATGAACTGAAAGATCCGCTGTAAATGCTGCTCTCTGAGTATAAACACGTGAACACTGTAAGCAAACTATTGCCGACCGTCGTGTTTTATTTTCACCGCATTTTGTGACAGGATTGTCTACACACACACGTCTTTCTGACCTACCGAGTGCATCTGAGTTACCGAGTAATGCAGAGTTTTTTTTTCTCTTATACAACGTGCAGTATCAAACATTTCACCATCATTAAACACTCTGTCTTTCTCTCCTGCGTGTGTGTTTGTTTTTCCTCGTTCAGCAGCGCGTGCCCAAATGGCAACTAACTTTTTTTTCAAACCCTTCCCATTTTCCCTCCCCCGACACTCCCACCCAAACAGAGCTAGAAACATCCACTTTCCTTACTTTTTCCAAACTAGAGGTGTGAAAACACCCTGCTGAAACGGGGGGTTTCATGGCCCTTTCAAAAGTAGTAAATTCCAAAATCTAAATTTTAGAAAGTTTTACTGTTAATTCTTTTTTTTAGTTTACTGAAATTTTGTGTTGTAGGTCTTAAATCTTTTTTTAAACATGTCTTCATTTTCCTTTGTTTATGTTTTGCTACTCATACAAACCCATACAATCAACAACAATCCATCTCAATAAAACTTTCAACTTTTTATTCAAAAAGGTCATTTTAACTTATTTTGAAGAAAGTTTATGTTTGCAAAATGTGTATGTATACAAGTAAAGCTTGCTTCATTTTACACTATTTAAAATCTTTTGCTAAGAAATATCTAAAATACTGTATTTCTTTTTTTTTTTTTATTATTCATTTAAAACCTGGTTAAAGTATGACAAAAAATGTGGATGGCCCCAATTTTAAACATGCTCAATGAAATAGACTCTAAATTATTATAAAATATTGTACTGTATTCTCAACTATATGATGATGTGGCAACATGCTTGTCGCTTTGAGCCTTATACTAAAGTTCACTTTTTTCAGACCCGATGGTGCTGAAAGAAGAGACTCATCAATGGAATGAAATGGAAGAGAAACACCAAGACTTGATGACTGATGAAAAACCTACACTAACTAAAAAGACTTCATCACAAGGAAGACCTCGGAAATCCAAATCTAGGTGTAATGTCAGCTGTAAACAGAGTAGAAACAGTTTCAGTCAAAAGCCAAACCTTGATGTTCACATGAGAGTTCACACTAGGGAGAAACCTTACAACTGTGAACAGTGTGGAAAGAGTTTTGGTCAAAAACAGAGCTTTAAAATTCACATGAGAATTCACACTGGAGAGAGGCCCTACACATGCCAACAGTGTGGACAAAGCTTCTATCATGCTGGAAACTTTGCAGTGCACAGGAGAATTCACACTGGAGAGAGGCCGTACACATGCCAACAGTGTGGACAAAGCTTCTATACTGGTGGAAACTTGGCAGTGCACATGAGAATTCACACTGGGGAGAAGCCTTACTCTTGCATTCAGTGTGGGAAGAGTTTTAAGCAAAATGGCACCCTTAAAGTCCACATGAGAAGTCACACTGGAGAGAGGCCGTACACATGCCAACTGTGTGGAAAAAGCTTCTATACTACAGGAAACTTTGCACAGCACATGAGAATTCACACTGGAGAGAGGCCGTACACATGCCAACAGTGTGGAAAAAGCTTCTATCAATCAGCAAACTTGGCAGCCCACATGAGAATTCATACAGGGGAGAAGCCTTACTCTTGCCCTCAGTGTGGAAAGACTTTTAAGCAAAATAGCAACCTTGAAGCCCACATAAAAACTCACAATAGAGAGAAAAGAATTACTTGCACACAGTGTAAGAAAAGTTTTGCTCAGAAACAAGACCTTGAGATCCACATGAGGATTCACACTGGAGAGAAACCTTACACATGCACAGAGTGTGGTAAAGGTTTCACATGTAAAGGCACACTCAAACACCACATGATAAGTCACACTGGAGAGAAGCCCTTTGCATGTGCTCAGTGTGGAAAGAGCTTCACAACCAAAGCTAGCCTCACAATCCACATGAATGGTCACACTGGAACCATAGTGTTCACATGTGATCTGTGTGGAAAGGGTCTCACGCGCAAAGACTCCATTAAGCGACACATGAAGACTCACTCAGGAGAGGATCCTTTTAGGTGCAGTGAGTGTGGAAAGAGCTTTAAACATAAAAGAAGCCTCAACACTCACATGAAGCTTCACAATGGAGAGCAGAGTCCTCAAAAATGAAGCCTTGTCCAGCAGAGCTTAGGGCTCTCTCCCAGGACGGCATGCTAAACAAGTGTTATCTCTTGAATGCATATCAAGTTGATGAAAAGGAAACCCTTTGAACAGCTGAAGATTTAAACTCAATAACTGAAAAAAGTGAATTATTTTTTTGTAGTGTAGATCAGGGGTCACAGCCCAGTACCAGGTTGTAAGATTTGCTGCCGGGCGGCAAAAACCCAAAATAACTCTATATGTTTCAACTTAATATGAACCAATAACCATATCTGTGCACATTGTACACTTCAGTCAAATGGTCGGCACTGAAAAGAGAATAATAAGATTAAGGAGGAGAAAATGTTTGGGGAGATGCAGCAAACACTGTCCTACACCCTTAGATTGGGTTTTTAATCATTCACATTGTTTGATTGACTCTTGCGTGAACAAACACCTATTTGCCTCCAGCTTGGGGCTTTTTTCTGCAATTTCACAACACTTGTTGGTGAATGAACGTCCGGCTAAACTCGTGCGGTGTGAACTTGCCATAAAACAATGACAGTGACAGACTGATGCAAACTCCCTCAAGCCCTGTTCAGACTATACAATGCCATTTGCCAGTTACGACAGATGAGATTTGTAGATTTGTGTCAGATTATGCGATTTTAACTTGAACAAATCTTGATGTGTTGTGGGTAACAAATGAGGACTGGTTTCAAAACACTACACGTTTATTTTGATAGACTAATTTGAGAAAAGAAACACATTTTCTTTATGAAGACAATTAAACTTTCTGTAGACAACTGGCTGCCTTTAAATATATGTTCATGTGGAAAACTCCAACATAACTACAAATAAATATATGTATGGGAAACCCAGTGTCTCTATTGTGAATGAGAACATGAGTGATTTGATAGCTTATGCCAATTCCAGTACTCAACATACTGCTGAAGCACTTATTTATATGTAATATATATTGTACTGCTCATGTGCACTGATTGTTTTGTGTGCTGTCTGCAATGGGTGTGTGTGTGTGTAGGTTTTAGTTTTAGGTTTATATTGTTTAGGTAAATATTTTAAGAGTAATAAGTTTTTTTTTTTTCAATTAAACATTGAAAAAGTATATACAAAGTTTTACATGCATAAATAAGCATGAAGTAAATTACAATTACAACAATAGGCAGACACAAATATAGGCAAAACGGCATATGGTAATGACAATTGTGTTTGACGCTAAAAATAAAAATATATTAAAATAAATAACCAAATGTGAAGCAGAAATAAACAAAATTGTTAACAGAATTTATTGCAGAATTCACTGAAAAAAAAGTAGTTTCTTTTGTAGCTTTATAATTTGACAAAGTACTAAGTGATGAAGCAATAATAGCAGGTTCATTAATAAAGTGTAAAATAGAAGAGGGGGGTTCAAAACCTACATTTATGTATGAAAAATTTTGGAAAGCATATAAATGTTGTTGACCAGGTAATGCTGTATACAATTTTCTTTAGTTACACCAAATTGAACTTGTTTATAGCAAAAAGGGTTTACATAGATATTAACATGAGACATTCTGTTATGTGCCTAAAATAATTCTAAGTATATGCAATTGTAAAAAATATGCTCTGTGGTTTCAATATCACTCTCACAAAAATGATAAGAGTAATTCTCAAATTTTAATCTCAGAAATTCTTTTGATGGACACACATCATGAATTGTTTGAAACTGAAGCTCTTTAATTTTGGGGAGAAATGGATAAGAAATGTAACTTGTTCTTATTTTTTTTAATTCCTCGATTAAAATCTTTAATAATAAAATGAGGTCTGAGCTGATTAGGTTGAAGCCTTTGAATAAGAATATTCATTAAAAGTTATTACTTCATTTTGTGTCTCTAAAACATGAAGTGGCAAGAACAGAGATGGAAGAGAAAACATTACAGAATAGTGTGAAAGAATACCTCTGATCAGTACTATGATGATATTAGGAATTACATGAATAATTGTATAAAACTCTTTAGGGTGATGAGCAAAACCATGTTTGAGGGCATCAAAATCTGAAACAAGGTCAAGCACCTTGGCGACTCTTAAAGCCTTGTATAGATCTCAACGCAATTTTTTAAACCTGGTTTGCATCTATTATCATCACAGTTTTGTTATTTTAAAAATGTGTAATTTTTTTTGTTTATAAAAAGCATCTGTAAACTGGGTCGAGACAACTGTAAAAAAGAATAAACCGGTCAAAGTGGCCTCTGTTCAACATCATTCAACGGAGAGTTTACATCGCTCAGCTATTGTCAAACTGCATCACTGGTAAGTTCACCGATGAGTTCAACTGTGCTCCGTGTGACGTGCAGCAATAAGTGGTAGGTTACTGCTGCATAATGTATTTTTTTTTTTATTGGAGATGACTCGGTGTTGATAATTACCTTATCATTTACCTTTTTAATCAGTGAAAGAATGGTCAGTTAAGGGTAATTACGCCGTAGAAAACTTTGATTAATTCAGTTTTTTTACTTAACTAAATAATGAATTTAAAGTACTAAGTTTAAAAAAATATATTTTTTGCTGATCTTTTTTATTTTTAAATTATTAATTGAAGTTGGGGTCATTGTATGTCGCAATCAAGGTTCATTGCAATCTTTCACTCGGTAAGTAAAAAGCAAATAAATACAGACCAGAGACAATCCTTAAATTTACAGAATAACATGTTGATTCAGATTAGGAGTTTGTTTAGAACCTTTATAAAAGCAAGGTAGCAATCTCCTGATGCAGTCAATGACTGCAGACTTGATATAAATGTGGCATGTGCTGTAAACTTGCAGCGTTATCTAATTACATTCAAGCTCATTTGTTAAAAAAATTTTTTCCACATAGTCATGCACAGCTCAGAACAATATAGTTATACATTAATAGGCGGAGATTGCATGTGAGTGACAACCCTGCTGAGCGAGTTTTACTTTCATTCATTTATTCTTTTTCTATACTTTATTGCGCAATTTTTTTTTCAACTATAGTTTTTAGTGGTGAGAGATCTAGTCGGTGTACAGTTTATAGAAACGCTGTTGATAAGCATTTTGCCAATTGATTATGGCAGCGTCGACAAACAGCGCAGAGCAACCTTTACGCAGGCATGGCATTAAGCTAGTACCTGCTGTGGAGTGCTCGGTTGAGGATTGCGCTCTGGTAGTCAGGGAAGCTGTCGGCTATTACAGTATAGTGTCTGTTTCCTGAATGAATGGTGGTGTGGTCTTTTTTTTTAGACTCCCTAGAAAAAGCGCTTAGTGTAGTTCAAAGTGGAGTTGTTATCAGTGACACTTTTATATCGGTAATGCCCCTAACACAACCTGCAAGAAAGATTATTCTGTTGAACATTCCACCTTTTATCAAAGACAAACTCTTAATTGTGGAGTTGTCTAGATATAGCAAAACCATGTCTTAAATGAAAAAGATACCACATGGTTGCAAATCGGCTTTGCTTAAACATGTTTAAGCAGTCCAAAGACATGCGGTACAGGTGAATTGGGTAGGCTAAATTGTTCGTATGAGGGTGAATGAGTGTGTGTGAATGTTTCCCAGATATGGGTTGCGGCTGGAAGGGCATCCGCTGTGTAAAAATGTGCTGGATAAGTTGGCAGTTCATTCCACTGTGGCAACCCCGGATTAATAAACCAACTAAACTGAAAAGAAAATAAATAAATATAAAGAGGATGGGGATTTGTCTGACAGTTTTTATGAAAACACCTCACAGACTTCCAAGGAAAGGATTGATAGGCCTCTCTCTGAACTTTTTACTGCTCTAAAAGCCATGCAACCTGGTAAGGCTCCAGGTGTTGATGGCCTCCCAGATGAGTTTTATAAAACCTTTTGGGACATGCTGGGCGAAGATCTTTTGGCTGTGCTTAATGAGAGTTTGGCTGAGGGCTCACTATAGGAGGGCAGAGTTGTAGGAGGGCAGTGGTGACCCTGTTGCCTAAAAAGGCTATTTGCAGGAAATAAAAAACTGGCGACCAGTTCTACTTTGTTCAGATTTTAAAAACCTCTCCAAAACATTGGGTAATAGATTAAAAGATGTGATGGGGCAGACTGTCCATCCTGACTAAACTTATTGTGTGTCTGGCAGGTCTATTATGATAATATTTGTCTTGTTGGAGACATTTTAGACCAATCTAGCTATTTTAATCTTGATTTTTGTTTAATTTCAATTGATCAGGAATTGTGGTTTGAGTGCCCCTTTTAAAATAAATAGAGGTATAAGGCAAGACTGTGCTTTATCTAGAAAGTTATATTCTTTGGCCATTGAGTCCATGTTTAAAAAGCTGCATTCTATAATTGAGGGATTTATGTTTGGTAATAAAAGTCTTCAACATCAATTATCAGCTTATTCGGATGATTTTATAGTTTTGTTAATGGTTAAAAGGATGTCAATATTTTGTTGTCAATTATTAGTGATTTTGTTAAACTTTCTGCAGCCAGCATCAATTGGGGTAAAAGCGATGCTTTAATTGATGGCAAAAGGAACAATGGTACTTCAATTTTACATGGTGGGCTGATCTGGAAAAAGAGAGTTGTTAAATACCAGGGTGTATATATTGGAGTGAGCACTATGCAACATAAGAACTGGGATGGAATTATAGAAAGAATAGGAGGAAAATGTAAAAAAAAATGGAGATGGATTCACCCCCAGTTATCTTTTAGAGAACCTCCTACAGGGTTGCTGTTACTTTTACAAGTCAAATTAGTTATTTTTTTCTGGGATAGGCTCTTAACAGGCCCGGTGAATTTGGTGTGGAGGAATGGGGCTTATTCTATTCTTCAAATAGTTGATGGTCTTGGACTGGACATGACTCATTGCACCTGAATGGACTACCTTTTTCTATCAAAGACCATTTAAGGCCTTGGGTTCATTTAAAATTAAAAGGTCAGATTCTGCAGTCTCTCTATTCTAGCTATTCGAAGAACTTTTGGTAAAGGGAGCTCATCTGAAAATCACAGATCAAGTATCAAATTTACTTCAGATATTTTGCATCACTAAGATTGTAAAGTTGGGACATTTTTTAAATATTGCGAGTGCTGACTTGAAAGCCAAAACTGAAGTGGCCTCGATGTTGGGTCAGAGGTCGATATATTACACTGCAACAATTATGGAATTATGGAAGAAGAAATTGGCTGAGGAATATGTGCTTTTAAAAGACCTTGAAGAAGGACACTTAACTCCAGATATGAGGGATCCCTACCAAGCTTTGGGTAACACCTGACTTGAAAGACAAGTCGGGCTCCTTACTGAAGTTAGGCGGAATTCAAGTTTTGAACTTTTTGAATGGCGATTTGAATGGGAAAAAGATGTATAAATGTTTTGTCAAATCGTGTATAGAACAGTTTTAAGTGATAAGTCTGACAATGTTTGTAGGACAAAACTTAATTAAGATGATAGAGTCAAACCAGTTTAGAGGGTATTACACAAACCACTATTGCTTAAAAATCAGGTGACTTACAGTGGAGAATTTTAAAGGGTGTTATTGCTGTCAATGCGTTCGTCTCTGTTATTAATCCTAATATCCATGACAGTTGTGCTTTTCATGCTGTTAGTGAGAATCTTTTACACCTACTGTTTTTATTTTGGGGGCTGGCTACAATCATAGTCAAAGATTCAAATGGCAATTAATTAACTATGTGGTGAGACAGGCAAATATGGCAATCTATATGTCAAGAAAAAGTAAGATAAACAGTTCACATAGTCAAGACGTAATTTTGTGTCTAATATGAATATAGTCAAGCTATTCACTAATATTGCCAGATAATCACTTTACCTCTACCATACTTTTAACAGACTTAACTAATTTGTGATTCTGGCTCTTATCCTTTTTTGCATTGTCTTGA